GCAGTAGGCTGAATAATTTCTCTAAAGCAAGGCTGGTCTTATAGCTCATTCCCTTTAAAAGGGATTTGACTCTTCTCTGCTGACTTCATGGGCCCCCCCTATCCCACCAGCTCTAGAAGTTCCCTTTCAGATTGGTTTCTCTTTCCTCATGGTATATGCTGGAATGTACTTACATTTTTACATTTAAACCAAGCCCTGCTGTATTCCTGTTAGTGGAGGGTCCACACTGTCAGGAAAAAAAAAAAAGGGCATGTTCTTAACTCAGGTTAACTGATTAGGATTAAATAAGCAGTGAAAACCAGGGCAGCCAGAGGGTCAGTTTGGTTTGGCAGCTAAAGGTCAATGCCACACTCCTCTATAGGCCCCATTTGCTAACCTGAGTTGAAATCGAAGTCTTGTTTTCATTGCTGCTTTTACCTGAGTTAGCTGATTTGTGTTGGCCAACATGAGTCGGAAGCGCACCCGTCTATATCACAAGCGAATGGGGATGTGAATACTAGTGTTATTGGAAGTCTGACTATGGGATATCTAATTTTATGCATTTTATGCATAAAACGGGTTCAGAGGTGGGCAAAATTATGGCTTGAATGAGGGTAGTACCTAGATGCCCCCAATGGAAGGACGCATTGAATTTACTTCGGCAGGCTCGTGCCAGAATTTAGCCTGGAACAAGGTGCAGTTTGTACTGTCTGCACTTGCAATCAAACCAGACCCAGCTTGTAAGCAGTGGGTATTTTCTCAGTGCAGCCTGAGCTGCCATCTCTTGCGTGCAAACTTCAGTTGTTTCACAATACCCTTCGGGTGCAAGATAAAGACATCTTTATTGCTCTACTTGAATAAGAGGGCTGCACCTGTAGAACTTTTTTTTTTAAGCAGCCAAGCAATAAATGTGCCATTTACTTCCCAGTTTCAACTGAAATCTTTTAATGCCTGTGAGTAATGGATAAAACTCACTTCCTGACATTATGGAGGCACTTGCCTGTTTTTATTACATGGTAATAGTAAGAGGTGGGGCGCTTTGCTGAGATGCTTGACAGACAAGTTCCCTGTGATGAAATCAAGGACAAATATGAGGTCGATGGGCAGAGGAACAGAACCAAAAAGCCCATTGATGGAGTGGCTGTGCTTAGCAGAAATCTTGTGTGATCCAAGGTTTTCATTCATGTTTTTGAAACTTGGACAAATGGAATAGTTTTGAAGGGGGCCCATGAGACAGACAAAGATCCCTGCTGCCTCACTGAAAGCCGGCCTTTAAGAAGTGAGGTGCAAGTGAGGGGGTGTCTCACTCTGGAGCTTTTATCACATTTGAAATATTTCCCCCTAATGTCTTGCTAGCTAGATCACTAGTTCTTCTTTCTCTTTCCCCCAATCAACACTGGGAGCTAAACAAGTTTTTCCCAGGAAAAAGGAGGGATGGAAATTTTCACAAAACCCTGTTTTTTTTTAACCTGCTCTGTCAGGTCTAGAGAGTGCAAGCAGGAGTCAACTAAAACCCTTTTAAAGACTTTTGACTCGCTCCAAATGAGTTTAAATGGTACAGTGTTCACAACAGCATCAGCAGCTGGCTGACTAATCATATTGGAAGGCCAACTATTACAAACGTAGGTGGAGCCAAGCTACATTAGTGGGAAAATAGAGTAAATCAGTGGGATTTTCCAGTGACTTCACTGCGAGGTTGAGGAAGCCATTAATGCTGAATGGCTTGATCTTTTCTTTACATTACTTAGGAGCACTACATGCAGACTCAGGTGGGATTTAATCAAAGTGCATAATATCTGTAGGAAATTGGATTAAAAGTAATAGGTTCATGCCTTGAGAGAGGGAAGGGGGCATTCAGCAAGCTTCATGTGCTGCTAAATCCCTGCTGAAATGATTATTTTAGCTTAATGCAAGAAAAGCAAATAAGAGATGTCCAAAGTTCACAAGAGAGGGATGCCAAGCAGTGTTAATCAGGAAGTATTTATAAAGCAGCTTCATATTAAATGCTACATGTGAAGGAGCAGACTGAGGCGGAGACACTTTGATAAGCAAGGCATTATAATTGCATTAAGTGTAGCAGAAGTCTGCTTGAGAAAGGACACGGGTAGTAAACGTGCGCAAAAATCGAATTCTACCACAAGGGACCCACTGGCTTATACAAACCCTGCATAGAAACAACAGTATATGCCAACTCTGCTAGTCCCCTGGTTTTCCAGTACTGGAAATCCAGTCATTTTGTAAGAAGAAAATAATTTAAGGTCTTGCTTTGCCCATGATAGTGAACATAGTAGGAAAAACTGGAGCAAATTCTCTTGCATTTTTAAAGGCTTGTTCAGGAGGCAGTAACCTTGCTTTTGATAAAAGGAGAAAAAGAATAAGAAATAATTACATATCCCAACTAGAAGCACCTCATTTCATTCTACACTGTTGTTGTCAAGGGTTTATTACACAACTGTGAAATTCCCTTTGGACTTCTGCTTGGTGTGTTTCTCAGGTCCAACTGATTTTTATTTTTTTAACATCTCATTACCAAACTTGGCTGAAAATTTTAAAATAAGCTGTGTTCTCTGCCAAGTTAAAAATGGTGCCATAAAAACTGGGATTTTGAGCTTTGTTCCTCAAGTCCAGGATTGAATTGGACTGGAAGTATGAGCTTTTTCAAATTGCCAGGTGTGCACTTAATGAGGATTTTAGTTTGCTTGGGTTATGCATTACACAGATTGTACAGGCCCTGAGAATCCTGATTTGAGTTCTCCTGAGAATCCTGATATGCTTATGTAAGGCAAAATGCATATAGCAAAAGTAAAAACTCCATAGTTCAAAGCGAGTAATAATTTTGGGTGCCTTGATTTGTAGGTGCCTACTTTAAGGAACTTTTCAAAGAGGCCTGGGTTTAAGCAGTGCTAATTACTTAGGCTGTAAAACCTAGGCCACTTTGAAGTCTATCAGGTTGGGCACACTGTATCACTACACACTTCTGGAACCCTAGCCCTGTGTGTTTTAGTCCTCCATTAGTTTTGTCGCATTATATGTGTAAGGCAAGGGTTGGTAATCTATGGCCCATAGGCTGCATCCAGCCTGCAGAACCTTTTGATCCAGCCCATGGGCATGGGGCTTTGGTGTAATCAGGCAGCAGGGGCTTTGGCAGCAGTTGCTTTCCCATTGCCAGCATAGGGAAAAACAGCAGCAGTGGGTAGGGGGCAAGGAAGTAATGGCAACAGTGGTGCTCTCCCTGTGTTGAGGCGGTGACAGCAGGCACAGGGAAAAGCAGCACCTCTGTGCACCTGCCAGCCTGCCCTCAGTCCTGCTCTCAGCCTTAAAAGGCTGCCTACTGCTGCTAAAAGATGCTAATTGGCATCATATAGGCAAATGGATAGGGAAATGGCAGAGCACAATGCTTGAGAATTAATCCAGTTTATGCATCTGGGGGTTCTAGGTCCCTAGACATTGACATGATTTATGCTGTGATGGTTCCAAAGAGCTCGTTAGCATTGATCTGTTCATTTCTACCATTCTAATGCCCTTGCCACTGCCTCTGCCAGCATAAGGCACTGTATGCCTTCAGACTCCTAATAAAGTTCTTCCCTGTGTTGTTCAGTTTTAATCTACAGAAATGTAATATCTTGAATGTTGTATACTCTTCACCTTGCATGAAACAGTCATGGATGGCAAATCCTTTGGGAGATATTAAATAGAATAGTTATTCTTTGACATCCCTAAACCAGTGATGGCTAATGCCCAGAAGGGTATGATGAGATGGATCACTCTAGGCAGGCCTCATTCATATCTCGATCTAAAGCATCTACTACTTGTTGGAGAAAAGATATTGGGCTAGAAAGACCGTTGGTGTGATGCACAGTAGCACTTTTGTTCTTACCTCATTCCTTCTGGCTGGTTTATAATCCATGCCTTGCAATGTAAGTATTTGAATACTACCCAAGGCTTAAGCTTCCTTATTTCTTTTAATGTCATTCTTGCAAGATCTATGCTATCCCCACCCAAAAGCCAAAGGCACTATTTAGAATCCATATTCTCTGCTGCCCAGAGTGTTGACTTCAACCAAGGATAGTCCATTTTAGTGTCATCCATTTCTTTTAGATGTAATTGCAGAATGGTAAAAAAAATCATCTCTGAGGATTTGGTTGGTGAATACATTCTCAGTATGCTACAATGCAAGTTGATATGCTAGGACTTCCCATGGACGCATGTTGGCACATTTAACATGCATCCCCTGGAATGCGCCTTTGGAATGCCACCTGCTCTGGTTGATACTGTACACGTGCTTTCTTGGATGATTGCTATCAAAGTCATTCTGTCAGCATTGATTTCTTTGTCCTGTTTGTTTCTGTTTTAACACAGATTGCTCGTAGATCTTTACGGCCGGCATATCCATTTCAGGTGCAATTTTCCATCCCATTCTTTTGTATTGCTGTTTCTTTTTAACAGTGCTGTTTTTCTCTTGACTGTCTCTTAGAAAGTTTGTTGAAGTAGCTTGATCCATTTTAACCTAACAGTAGTTGTCTTGTGTGTGTGTCTGCATATGCGTGTGCCTTCTTTTTACTTTTATTCGTTCTATTGTTAAACATTTATCAATTGTTTTATTGCTTTTATTTTGCCTTTTCCATATATTACTTCAGATGGCTTCAGCTTAACTTAAATGCTGTTTTTAAGGTTGCATTTAATCTTTCAGAGCATGACCTAGTAAAGCGTAAAATAGACATTGTGAACAGGTCTGACTAGGGAATTAATATTTTTTAGTTCTGTCCTGAATTCATAATAGGCACACATTTTGCTTTTAAGTACTGGTTAAAGGCCCTGGTATTGCAAATGCTGTGATTTTTTTTTTTTTTTTTTTTTTTTTTTTTCCCTGGGAAAACCCCGGGATTTGTTTATTTTC